GCAGCTGAAGTTTAATGAGTTTGGTGGGTCTCAGCCCTGTTTCTACTGGAAAGAGTCCATAGCATTCAAACTTCATGAGAAGTGAAGGAGGAGCTGCTGGCTGAACCACACCACCTCCAGTGAGGTCCTCTCCACACCACGCTGAGGTGTGCAGTGCCCAGGGAAGCCCAAATTTCTCAGACTCAATCCTGCAAAGCACTTGTGTATGTGGTCAGCTTTAGGTATTGGGACTCAAGAGTGGTCCTGAGGTGGGGGGAAAGGAAAAAACCTTCCTTGTCTCAGGGCCTGAATTGCTGCTGTGTCTTTTTTATTTCTTCCTCTCTAATTCCAGGTAAAAGAGATAGTATTCTCAGGGTAAAAACAGGATCTTGGAGCCTACATTTCCATTGCAATGACAGCATGACTTCCACCTTGCGTCCAAAGCTTCAGAGAAGAAAGTGTCTGTACAGCCTCTCTCCTTGAACCAGTGCTGGAGTGGAATATCTGAATAATTTACAAAGGCTCTTCATTAAACATATTTATTTTTGGCAGCTTTGTCAGACTGCTCCTTTTAGGAATGAATAGGAAGTTGCTCTGCTCTCATCAGGGCATCCCTGTACAAACCCTTCCTGCTGGGGCCAGGGACTGGGACAGTCTATTGCTCCGTTAACCATGCTAAACATAAACTCCAGGTCCCCAGGTAACCAGGCTCCAGTGCCAGTGGCCAGGCAACCTGGCAAACGAGTATGTTCCTAGACATGCATGTCACGGGAAGTGGGAGCAATGGCAAGATCTTCCCTCCAGCCTCTGTGGACAGGACACCAGCATGGAGGCATGGGAGAGGTCCAGTCCTGCACCAGCTCTGAGCAGGAGACTGCTCCTGCTTTCCAGCCAGACAAGCCCACAGGCTTGGGCAAGCTCAGGATGTGGTGAAAGGCAAAGCTCAGCGTGGACAAGGTGTGGTACAACCTGAGGGCACATGGCTTGGGGCAGACACAAGGCCAGCAGGCATGCTGCGAGATCACCATGCGTACTGCAGTGCCTTAAAGCGATGCTAAAGGCAGGCACGGCACCTTCCTCCCTGGAAGGCTGACACTAAGCAGGGTACCACAGGAGAGGTGGAAGTGGCTCTTCCAGCCCCCGTGTCCTGGTCACACCAGCCTGGAGATCCCTTTGCCAGCCTCCCAGACCAAGTTGCCATGCAGCGTCAGGCTCCCAACTAAGCTGTCAATGTCAGCAGCCAAGTCCCTGGCTGCCCTCTGTGGCCCCTCCAAAGGGCGGTACGGCTTCCCTAGGAGCAGACACGCTCCCTGGAAACCCACCTTGCAAGCTCAGCCCAGCCCTGGGTGCAGCGAGAGCCTGGCATGGCCTTGCTCCTGGCCCAGGTGTTGGGGGAGTGGGGGGGATCCATCTGCTTCAGCTGCAGCTTTCCAACATTGCTGTAAAACAGCCTTGCAGCAGACAAATGTTGGTTCACTTGGAGAGCTCCTAGACACGTGCTCAGAGCTCCCTTCCTGCGCTGGAAAACCCCTCATTTCCTGAGCCAGGTCTGAGGTGGGCTGTGGGAATTCCCTCCTTTTACCAGGGTATGTTCAAGGCAGGCTCCTCCATGTGCTGTTTTGCTGCCATGCCCAGGCCATATTCACCCCTGCTGACACAGGGAGGCCCACTGCTTGGGCAAGGTTATAATTCCCCCTTCTTCAGATGCAGATACATTGCCTGGCTGGAGACAGGCCCATTAAAGAGTCATTTACTACGCACAAGCAAGTTTGTGTTCCCCTGGATTGGGATTTGCCAAGGTTATACCATAAATTAGCATATTTCCTGGAAGAAAGTAAGGAGAGAAAAAAAAAGATAAAATGGAACATTTTGTAGCCAACATAAAAGCCAATAAAGGAACATTTCATTTCCCACTTGGAAGGGAGCGACTGTGAGTTGTTGCAAAGGGAGGGGAAGGCAGCACAGGGCAGTGTGAGCAGGGCTCCCGTGCTTTCACTGTGACCAAGGGAAGACTTGAGATTCATGTTCCTGTTGCCCCCCACTGTTGGGGAGCTTGGCTGGGGCCAAAGCTGCCAGCAAGCTGATGGTGTGGCTGCCCAACCATTCCCCCTGCCACATGCCTTGGAGAGGCACCGTGAGCCCTTTCCGGAGGCCAGGGTCTGAGCTGGGGGACTGCGTGGGAGAGCCGTGGAGGGTGCCTGCTGCTGGCCTGAAGGAAGCTTCATACTGCCAGCCTGGGGTCCAGGAACAGTGCCTCTGCATCGTCTCCTGGGAAGTTCAATCTACTCTGGTAATTATTATTGCTGTTTAAAGAAGTCCATCAGTCACAGGAAGAGCCTGGTCCTGTTTCTATCAAGGACAAATGCTTCACAGCTTTGGCCCTACCATCATTAGGAATACCTGTTGTTTCAGGTTGCTACTTGGCAACTTTGCTGCTTTATCTCGACTGGAAAAAATTTCATTCAAGCTAAAGAAGAAAGTTTAATATCTAAATGAGCAACGAAGGGGTGTGCTGGAAAAGGAGAGCGGAGATGCTACCTGGCTTGGCAGGCAGACTAATATTCCTGAGTGTACATAGCTGTGCTAAAAGGCAGCCACCCACTGGGTAAAGAACACACCTTTGGCCCTGGCTGCCCTCCTCATCTTATCTGAGGGGACTGATAAGGCAAGACATCCACTCTGGAGGTCTCTTCTCAAAGTTTGTCCTGCCCTGCATCGTGACCAACCCCTGCAATATTCTGGATGGGAAGGTACTAACAGACAGCAACTGCTCTGCAGGCACAGCACACCAGATCATCCTTCAGCACCTCTAATGCAGGCAAAGTCTGTAAAATGGGAGAAACAACCTGCCGTGTATTTAGGGGCCATCCCTTCTTATGTGCATGTACATGTTGTGCAGGGCAGTTGACGTTGTGGTTTAGGTCTCTAGCTGCTGCAGGAATACACATATCTGTTCTTCCAAACTAGTAGCAAATGTGAGGCTCCTGACCCACACATACACTCAAAAGGTTTTTTCAACTAAAAGGAGTAACTTTTTGGAACAACACAGGAACCCTTCTGCAAACAAAGCAGGAGCAGTCTGAACGGTGCAAACCCCACAGGCAGCAGCTGTGCAAGAGGATCCAAAGCTCCAGGTGCTCCCCTTGGGATGAGCTGGCCCAGCCCAGCATCTTCTCAGTGGCCACATATGTGGGCTCCTAGTGAGGGACCTTGCATCAGTAGTCCCACTGCAGAGGGCAGGGGAGAGCCCACAGGCCCTGATTTTGAACACGTGATTCAAAGTATAGCATTTGCATGCTGCACATTTCTTCTGCACTTAGCATAATCATCTTTATAATAGATACCTAATTCCTGTAATGGAGTGAGGACTATTACCTGCAAGGCCAGTCTGTTCTCTGCTGGGGGCCAGGGACGGTAAAGCTCTCAACCCAGGCACTGCATATCTGAATCATCACATAGCTGAGGGCCAAACCCTTCTGCATGCCATTGTCCCTTCCTTCCCCCCACATGGCAGCAAGGTGACAAGCCTGGCAGGGAACAGAGACATGCTCCAGACTTGCTCCAGTGCCTCCCACTGAAGCTAGAGCTCACCAGAGAGGCAGGCCTTAGCTTTGCAAGGGGACAGCAGTGACCTAGTCTGGTCTCCTGCACACACCAATTACAAACTGCATCTCACTGCTCTTGTGCAAAGCCCAAGTCAGGGTGGCTCAGTTTCCCTACATGTAAAAAGGGGACCAGGGTGCTGACCAGCTGAGGGGGAGACTGTCTACCCTGTTTTCCCACCCTTAATCTGCAGGGACATAAAGCCTGCCTGCACTATTAATAGTCCTTGGTATGAAGCTGTCACAGTTTTCACTAATATGGAGATGTTAAAGTGAAAAAGCTACTGCACAATATCCAGGAGGTGTCACAGTAACCCAGCTGCTATATTGTTCTCTTTAAAAATAAATACCACAACAGCCCAGCCCGCATTGCTGGAGTCATGACGTGTAGGGTTTTATTTTTAATCAGAAAATGTACCGATTTTTAAGGATAGACAGAGAGCAGCGTCTGAAATTTATGAAAGCTCCCTGTGTGCTCACACACGCCAGCCGTATTCCTGCCTGTTATTCTCAGGCTGGCTTCCAAGGACCTGATCCCGCCTCAGCTCAGGCGCGTTTGTGTGTGTGGCTTGCAAGAGGCCCCATGGCAACAAAGTCCTTCCAGCAATAAAGTCTCGTGGCTAAATTCCCCACCTCTCTGCTCTCTGTGGGGATGCAATCAGTCCCCCAGGACACAAACTGCAGGGTCTGCTCCTCAGGCAGCAGGTTTAGGACCGAAGTTTGCATCCAGAGCAGAATTTTCTATGGCTTGGAGACAGGATATTTGTTTGGGGCCAGTTGCAGGTGGATTCCCTTGCCTTTGCCTTCCCTCGTGCTCAGCAAAGGCAGCGTTGAAATAAAGCAAAACAAACCCCTGTGTAAACAAACGCTGTTCTCCCACTTGGAGAAGGATGTGAAAATGAGCCGCATCCGATGGCACTCCCTGCATTGCCAGCACGGTTCAGCTCCTGCGGTGTCGCATCAGGTTTAAGAACCTGTAAGAAACTGGAGCGGTGGCTTCATTAACAGCAAAGCTTCCCCTTCTCCCTAACACCATGTAATAAAGATGCAGCGTCAGGAGCCAGAGGAACTATCTTTACTAGGTGGTAGGCCAATGCTCTCCTACACAAGAGAGCTGCAAAGGCGAGAAGCCTCACCACACAGTGAGACCCAGCACTGTCCAGGGCTCCTGTGACCTGGCGCCCGGGACCGCAGGCACCAAGGTTTGCCCTGCAAACCTCTGCCAGACCCCAGTCCGAGTCACCCCGGCCCAGGGTAAACCCGAGGCCTCCAGGACGAGCTGCTGCGCTGGCTCAGCCGGCAGCACCCCTGGCCCCGCAGGGCAGCGCTCCGCGCCTCGGCTGCGGCTGGTGTCGAGCCTAGGGTCCCACCTGGGCACCGGCAGCGAGGAGGGGCCCGGGGAAAGTGGGGCGACACCCGATGGGCCGCAGCACCGGGAAGGTACAGAACGCCGGGCAGCCACGACAGGACTGCAACGGCCAGGGCTCGGGGAGGAGACGCTGGTGGGCGAAAGGCCCGTCCGGCCCCGGCCCCGGCCCCGGCCCCGGCCCCG